GCCTGGACCAATCTGCAGCATCCTGAGAAGTGGAGCAAAGGATGGCTTTGCCAAGAAATTCGTTCACCTTGGCTCCACAATCAAAGCACACGGAAGGGAGCAGCACTCAGAAAATCAGATGACACATTGCCGTCAGCAAATCAGCCAAAGTTCTTTTTTAAGGGTTAACGTACAAATGCGCTTTACACAACTGATGTACGTATGGATTGTGATGAGTTGTGTGAGCCCCTAATAAAATGATTAGGGGAAAAAAGGCACAGGTGTTACTTGAGGGCTAAAGTACACCAAACCATGATAGTTTCAATTGCCTTGTGTTCAGCAAAAGTCCAGCCATGAATAAGGAAGTCAGAAGAATGAATGCCTTTGAATTAGTATGTTGCTGGTGGGGAATATTTAGAAGAGCAGGGACTGCCAAAAGAACAAGAACAACAAACTACCTGGGAAGAAGCACAGTCAAAACGCTCCTTACATTGGAGGGTGGAGAGACGTCCTTTTGAAATATCACCAGGGGGCTTCAGTTCTAAAGAAGGACTTCCAGCTTGGCAAAGTCGAGGAACGGCTAAAAAGAGGAAGACCCTCCACAAGCTGGATCGTTAGAGTGGCTGCAACGGTGTGCTCACGCCAGTGGTGGGATCTGAGTAACTTAACACCGGTTTGCTGTGGGGAACAGAAGGACTTCTCCCAAGTTGTCTCCTCCAAATATGTGCCAAACTTAGCGGTTTACTACACGTGGTGAATGACTATACCACTTGGAGGTCATCAGAAGTAGATCAGGGGTTATTCTCCGTAAGGGTTATCAGCCATCTAGAGCAAGCAGACACCGCTGTTTATCCCACAACAAGTAGGGCCCACTCCCTTCTGATAAGGATAATAGTTGTCTGTTTCCTTGTATTAGACCCCAGAGAGGTCAAGCCCACCCAAGGGTGGCCAAGGTTAGGCCGAGATTATGAATCTAGGGTCCGCCCTTCTTGTCACATGTATACCTCTAGTTCCTCCCCTTCCTATCATGTGTATACCCCTAGCTCATCCCCTTCCTATGATGTGTATGCCTACTGTACTGCCCCTTCCTGTGACATGTGGTTACCTGCAATCATGCCCCCCGAAGTAGATATAACCCTTGGTTATTAATAAACGGGGTCCTTGAGCCTCCTGCCAGGTCTCTGCCCCACCTTGCTCTCCGCCCGCTGTGCGCGGACCTGGCCGGTAAGATCATGGCCATCCAGGAGGTGAGCATGCTACCATGAAATGTGTCTGACTCCATTATTTGACTCTCTCTCCTATCTCTCATGCTCTCTATTACTTTAATATAATCTTTATATGTCTCAACCACACAATTGTGCTTACTGAACCTGTGATTAGTGGTGGGGGGCTGGCACCCCCCCCCAACTGCAGTTTGCTCCCCCAATGACCATTTTAACTATAAAAAAAGATGTACTGGAAGGTCGTTTTTATTCATTTCATACAGTTAATACTACAGTTACTGCAATAAATACGAACAACAAAAGAGGTACACCAAAGTAGATAAGGGTTTTTAAATATTAATGAAAAACATTAAATAATATCTGACCAAAATAATGAAACTGTTAAGATATTTCCATATTGCTTCTTGATTGGCATCCTCACTTGCAATATTCTTCACTTTCATCTGAGAATCATCAGTTTGTATGATTTATCCTTAACCATATTTTCACTTGTTGTTCGGCAGTTTTTCTCTTTACATTATATGTTTGTTTATTGAAGTAACAAATGCAAGGGCATAGCTTGTAGTGTTTCATCAAAAGTATTACGAATGTGATGAAATGAATGAGTAAATATTACAAGCATAACTCCATTGAGTTTTTTATACCTATGGGTGGAATGAACATTACTGAGGGTGTTCAGAATACACTGCTGAACAGATGAACGTTTTAAAAAGTGCAAGGAATGTAAATTTGTGCTGTCCACATTGGGCAGCTGGGCAGCCCATCTTAAAGAGAATCTGGATTACAAGGACCATTTTAACAAGCAGTTCACCAAACTCAACCAAAAATTCAGTATCAAAATGTTTTTTTAATGAGAATGAAAATTTGATATCAGTTCTGCCTAACGGTGTGAACCCACTAAATCCCACACACTGGCTCAAACACAGCGGCACTTGGGCTGCATGAATCAGGGTTTTCTTCTGTAATCCATTGGTTTTCTATGAGTTAGAAGCAGCTAGATAGCACCTAAAAACAACAAACTCTAAAAACCAACCTCACTGCCCATGTGTCAATGAGGACTCCTAGTCACCTGATAAGACAGGGCAGACCTGCCCCCTTTGTGTTTCTGAGACTGTAATTCTTTCTGGGAGTAGAAAGCCCTGTCTTTATCCCACAGAACAGCTAGTGGTTGGTTTGAACTGCTGACTTTGAGGTTAGTGGCCCAGGGCAAAACCGCTACATCACAAGGCCCCTCAAAAACAGGGACCTTACAAATATAAATGCAAAACTGATTTTTTTTTTTTGCTGTCATTTTGAGGAAGAGTTTGCATCCGCCTTCTTGGCCAGAAAGAAAGGTAGCATTTCCCTTTAAGGCTCTACTTTCACTGCAAAAGTTCCACCTGTATTCTTACTCCATTCGAAAGATTTTCTTTTTCACTGTGATGTCTTTATTTACCCAATTTAGAAGCGCGTTGTTTCAAACGAGACAAATGGGAATTTTTTCATTATCTTCGTGTTAGCTTCTAGTTTAATTTTATTGTGATCAGAGAACATATTCCCCAAGTTTCGGTGTTTTCTAATGTCTTGTGACTTCATAGCTCAGTATTTTGGCAACTACGTCTAAGGGCTGATCTTAGTTTAGGCTTTACCAGTGAAGGCAATGTCATGTGTGCTTCCGAGCGGAACTTCGCTCTACTCTGGGTCTCGGGGTGCCGCCAACCATTTGCGATTAGCGTCTCACCTCGCTGGCCGCCATGGAGTGGTTACCAACTGGAGGGCAGGGTAGACCTGACCCTGGGGGGTTTCAAGACTACGACTCTTTATAGGAGCAGAAAGCTCCGTGTTTCTCCCGGGAAGCAGCGGGTGGTAAGGAACTGCTAAAGGCTGGCAGTGTCGACGCTGTTCAGCAGTACCTTGGAAGAAAGACCTGGTGATCGCTTCTTAAAGATTGCAACCCCGAAAACTCTATGGAACAGTTCTCTGGAGTCACCACGGTCCGAATCGGGACCACAGATCTGAGTTGGTTTAGGTCTTCATTTTAACTAGATCGGCCCTTGGTGTGCTCCAACCCACGTAGTGAGCGGAAACACCAACGTTTGTGCCACCCAAGGGCCCTCGCTTAGAGACCCTCGAAGGTCCCTTCTCAAACCAAGTCTGCGATTCGCAGCACACAGGAACCCACAAGGAATTAGCGTGGGCGTCATTCTCCCTGTAAACTGGTCCCCCCTTGAGATGTCAAGACTTTTTCCTGAATTTGCTTATAGTTTAAAGGGGGGTAGGGCGCAGTTTTACAGTTTTGTGTTCTCTGCGGCTGCAAAGGCCCCGCCACTCGGAGGGCGAAAGAGGCGGCTTTGGGCTCCGGAACTCACAGGGGC